AGCCAAGAGATAACTGAAGAAGCAGCAACAAACATGCAGCCAAGGAAGACACAGCGTTGTCTGAGAGAGCCGAGAGAGAGCCAGCAGCAGACAGAGAGAATTAGGCTCTACAGAGACAGAGTTGGGGTAAGAAACTGAACCAAAAACTCCAAACTCCTTTTGTGACCTTTCCTAAGTGGAAAGGATGGACTCCTACTGAATGGAAGTCCTAAAACTGCAGCAGCACTGCAGAGAGGAGCTAAAAAGCTCAGAGAAGGAATGCGGAGAGGGTGACCTTGGCCCCTCCGCTGCTTGAGACAGAGCACAGAGCTCTGCAAAGGGGGCTGTTTTTCCCCTGAAGATACAGACCGTCACGAAGACCCCCGTGCTTCGTGGTATGACCGTGGTGACGCGACTGTTGTCTGGGTGAACACAGCCCATGGAAGAGAAGACCCTCGCTTGAAGAGGAGTGGTCGAGGGGCTTGGATACCCCCTCGTGTGTGCTGGCAGAGGTCCAGTTACAGCTGCTGCATGAGAAGAAGAGAACCTGCTGCCTTAGAGACATTGCTGCTCTGAGAGTGAAAAGGGATCTTTTCCTTCTTCCCTCCTCGACTTTTATTTGGAGGGGAGAAGAGATTTGATCCAGTGTAAATACTTATGTCATGGTAGAGATAGCTAAGATTGTATATAATGTATTATAGTATTTATTTGTACAGTCGTTGTAATATATTCCCTTTCCCCCATTCTGAGTCTCGTGTGGTGTCTGGAAAACCCATCTCACATTGGGTTGAGATGTGGGAGGGGGTTTGGACTAGGGAATTGAATTTTTGAGGCTCTCAAACCATGACGGTGGGGAAACCATTTCCTGAGTCCATAACCTTCAGGCTTCACTTTGCTTTCCTGCAAACAGCTGACCAGAGACTTGTGAAAGCGGGAAGAAAAAAGAGGGAGCAGCCACCACTACAGCAGAGCGGGTCCGAGGCACCTGGCAGGAGGCTGCCATTCACTGTCAAGACATGAGCACCCATGGAAGCAGAGTAAATCAGCAGAGAAGGAGAAAAAGCAAGAGAAGTGAGAGGAGACTCATGAGAAAAGTAGATAAATATAATGACATCAACACCATGCTTGGATGGTGTTTTTCCATGACACACAAATATTCTAGTATCACAAATGGCAGAGAAGACAAGGTGCAAGAAACTTTGCAGTAGTATGTATGACAGAAATTATAGATCCCCTGGATTAACATTTCAGATTTTTTAACCAGGCTGCTCTTTCACATAGGAGAAAGGAGAATGATTTATAGCTGAGATGAAATCTGTGACTCTATTCAGTGCACTTGTCTTTTTATTAGGGTCACATCAAGGAAGTTGCGAAGTTAGGGAGAAAAATCCAAAGGTAAGAAACCATAACTAGATGAAACAAGCAGCACTCACAAAAGCTGCAAAATCTGTTTGTACAAGATTTACTGAGGACTTCTCAATTTCCATTTCACCTACCAGATACCAGACAGACACTGAGTGAAACCACTTCTGCCCTTCCACATCTTCCAAAGGAAACCCACAGCCCCTTCTCCAGGTTACTATACACCAACTACTTTGGAATCAAGTTCAGGATGAGGAGAAAGAAAAATAACTACTCCCAAGAGTCTTCTCCTTCCCATTTCTCGTAGACAGTCATGGTGCATTTAACCACATGTACTCTTCTCAGTGATGAGAGCTGGAAGAGATGTGGGGGAGAAGGAAGTTTCCCTATGTTTCTGACAGTTGCTGGTAATCCTAGACACACAGGAAAGCCCTGCAATTTTCCTTCACTCCAGAGGCTCCATCTCACAGAGCTCCTACACCTCTTTGGCTGCTCCCCAGCTACAACTCAGAATGGCACACTAGGCCACCACTACATTACCCTAGACACTAATTTTTAATTCAGCGAGTGAAAATGCCCTCCCCAAGCAGAGATTTTTGGGAGACTTCTTATTTCAGTTCTTACACAATTGGAAAATGGATTTCCTTGCAGCAAAACATCAGTTCTGCATTTATTAAATTCTCCTCAAATGGTCTGGCATTGACAGAGTGTAGCTTGTTTTTCTAATTCAAGCATACAGTTTGTAGGGCAAATTATCCCCTGCTGAAAGGCTGTTTGCTTCATTCCTTGATAATGTCACTTGCTAACTCTCAAGGAGGAGCTACGGCTACTTTGTGTGATACTCAGAGGCTTTAATCTGGCGGCCCTAAAACTCACAGCTGCCGGTTTTTCTTTGATGTCTTATCATTGCCACCGTTCTGCATGCTTCCAAAATTTGTTAAAGCCCTCTCAGAGCTGATATGTCTGATACCCAGCTCAGCCCTTCAGAGCCCAGCGTTTCCAAGCCTCAAAGCATTGGCATGACTTTCACTCCAATTTCCTTCCTGTGGCCTGATCCTCATGCGGCTGCGGAAGCCGATCCCCCAGACGTGGTTGCCAGGTCTCAGCACTGCTCACTACCTCCTCCTGTGCAGGGGGGGTAGGAATCCAGTCAGCCTTTCCACCACTGCCTTGCAAGCCAGAAAGGTGGCTCTGAGAGATTACAAAGCATTTCCCTTTCTACTATCAAGGTCTATATCCCGTTCCTGCAAAGGGCCACAGATTTGCATCGACAAGAGTCATGTCAAAGTGCAATTCTGTAGCTGAGTTGTCCAGATCCATGAGCTCTGCTAGCACAGTGACAAGAGTACAGATTGTACCGCTAAGACCTATGTTCCATGCTGGTCCTTATTCCCAACCTCACCTCATGATCACATGGCCAAAGTACAACCATTGTGGCAAGGAGGACAGTTCATCATACGGGCTGTGGTCACCACCAAAGTGGTGCCCTGGAAACTGCTCTCCTGTAGGACCAGCAGCCCAAGGGGGCCCAGCTATACATCCTGCTGGTGCTTGGGGATCAGGTGGGGCTTACTGCTGCTCACCAACTGCTAGACAGACAAGGCAAGCTGAAAAGGCAATCAGTAGCTTAGACCTCTGCTTGTTTTATAAATGGATTTAACAAAAGACAGAACTTCTGTGACAGATCATATGAAATTCACTGACCACCGACTTGATCAACACCAAGTTTTCATGGTGGGGTTTTTCTTCCTTAATTGCTTAATTTTTGAAATGTGCACAGGCAGGGGCCTGCCTTCTTACCCTGTGCAGCAGTTTTCAAGGAAAACACACACAAATGAGGAAGTTTGTCAAGGTCATTAGAGTTGCTGCTTCTCCTGTGCAGCACTGTAAAGTGGTGGTTTAACTCCTCAGGATGGCCAGTCTAGCATTTCTGATGAATCCTGGATTTCCTTTAAGTAAATGAATGTGCTATTATGCCTATGAACTTCTGAATATTTTTAACAATACTTCTGTCTTCCAGATCTAATTGGAAGGAGTGGACTTTTGTTTATAAGGAATATCTAAAGATTTAATAAAGAAATACATCAAGTTGAGATGTTCAAAGCACTGTTAAAAATTTAACTGAATAAGACAGCGGACTACACCAGAATAGTTAATCTCTCCAGTGTGATTTGTTTTATAAGCAATGCTTCCTCTTTATTATTCAGACAGAGAACACAGCAGTTGTGCACAGACACTACCCATGAATCTGCTTGCAGCACACTTTTGCCAATGTTAGGCTGGGAGGATCATCTCTTCCTACATTCATGAAACCTGCATTAGATTGCAAAGCCATAACCAAGAAAGTTCAAACATTTCCCCAGGCCAACACTGCCTACAGAATTGATTAAAAAACAGTCAAGCCTGGAAACTGTTCTCATTATATTCCACAAAGCAAACATGAGGAATGGTCCACATCTCTAAACCATATTCCTTCCACCCAGTCCCGCTTTGAAGTTTTTGCAATTTAGAAGAGCAAACAAACCCCAAATCTCATCTAAGGGATGCAATTCTATTGCTAAGAGCCTTTGGAGTGGTTGCAGCCCTTGTGCTGCAAAGCACCTGACTACAATGCCTTACTGTCTGCTCTCCCATGAAACGGGAAGCATTGTAGAGAATTCCAAATGACCCCTTTGTACATCCAAACAAATCAAACAAACTTTTCTTCAAACTTGAAAGACAAGTGAGCAACCCAGATGGACCCAAAACAAATACCAAAAATAGGAAATAAATATTGATATTTCCCATGCTTGCTAAACTTAGCTCTTAAATCCCCTGCTTTAGTATCATGTTTTTTTCAAATTTAAATAAAAGGTGGAACTTTAATACTACTGTCTTGCATTTCAGATTCAGGAGAGCAACATAATCTAAATTTTAATCTCAAACACTAGAAGCAAATATTAGAACCCCTGCATCACATGATTTTAAACTGTCACAGTATTAGAGGGTTTGGGACCTGGAAAAAACAAAACAACCAACTTGACAATTCTGTTAATAGTAAGGTAAAAAGGTGACACAGAGACAGGAATTTACTCACTGAAGCTGAACTTCTGTTCACTGATACAAGCAAACCAATACAACATTGTTTGGTGCATGCTGGAAGGATAAACACGAAAATGGAAAAATGAAAATAATTTACCTCTCTCTGAATCCCGGGAAGCATGAAGAAACAGAAAGAACAAGTTAGAAAGCACTCAAGCAGACAGAGCTCCAACATATGATGAGGCAGGGTAGCTGAAAAGTGCTGTACATTTAGTATTCACTGTTGTTTGCAGCCCAGCGTATCTAAGCATACTGCCACTATTTCCTTTTGACACTTCTTTTGTTGAATCTTGTTGTTCTGAAGTTTGTATTTTTGGAAACATGGAATGAAGCCAACAGGCGTCAGCTGAATTCAGTGAGGCAGCACAGACATACCAACAGTGGGAAGTAATAAAGCTTAAAATACCACACATAAGTCCGGGAAGTAGTATGCAGAAAGCATAAATAGACATAGAAAGTGCATGAACCTTCCTTCATCCAAAATAACACTATTTACAGCAGACACTGACTAAAGAAACAAGAATAATTCTTCAGAGTGTGAAAACCTTACATTGTTTGAACTGAAAGAGTAAAAAGATTGTCCTCAGTTTTTTTAATGCCTTTTCCAAGAGAAGTGACAGCCGGGGGAACCACCTCATAAGTGCTGAGCTGAAGCCAGGAGGTATAAAACCACCACACACTTTCATTTCTGAAACACTTCAGCAACCACTAACTCTTGGTACGACTTAACCAACACCCCTTTCCTGCAGGCGAAGGTGGGCAGGAGAGGCACAAGCTTCCTTGGTTGGTGGTTGCCCTTCTTCGCCTTCCCGCAGATCCGCTCTGCCTGCCCAGCTCCTGCCCTGAGCCCCGGCACTCACTGCAGCTGGCTGCTTTCTAGGTCATGCCAGCCACCAGGGAACACCAGCAGGATGAGTTCGCAGGGACATGGGCACTCCTGGAGCTGTCCTGTGAAGGCAGCACACTGTTTCCTGTGATGTTACCACAAAGGGTTCTCTGTGCTGGGGAGGGATGTGGGTTGCTGCCTGCTTCTGCCCACCTCTCCTTAAATACTGGACACCACTCGACGCAATGCACAGTGTCTCTACAGGGATAATAACCTTTCTTGAGAAGAGAGAGATGTTTAATGCTGCACTCCCACTCCTGCCTGCTGCAGGCATCTCACAACCTCCAGTGAGGATCTGAGCAAGGTTCATGCGCACAAAAATGTGGGACCCTACATCATCCCAGCTTGTAACTAACTCTGAGAAAAAAAGTAGTGGAGTGGAAAAATCATGCCATCTCAAGTAATAAGGGCAGGATTAAAGACAGAGCACACTGAAGGGAAGGGATCCAATTCCCATGAGATATCTCACATCAGCAAGCTTGCAAAGCTTACAGGGAATGATCTATTGCTTAGAAATGCCTTAGTGAGTAGAACTAGAATAAACACAGGCTTTCTAAGCCAGGTTTTAACTAAACAAGCATATGGTTAGCTAATGCACATAACTAGAGATTTAATTTCTTTCTCATGTTGAGATGAAACTTCTCCTGATGCAACTTGTATCCACTGTCCCTTGTAATAATCTCCATGTGACTCCTTGTGAAGTAAAATAATTCACTGCAGCAACCTCTCCAGAGGTACAGTAGAGTTCCCACCACAGGATGTTTTTAAGATGTCACTGGACAAGGTGCCAGAATATCTCATCTAGGCTCCCTTTCCCATGAAAGGTTGGATCAGATGGCCTTCTGATATTTTTTCCAACCTGGGCTGTTCTATGAAAGCAGTCAAGTTGGAAAGATGATCCATAATTATAAATATAATGGACATTCCCAGAAATTTTACAATGGAAGCGTGAGACAGCCTCATCATGAAGAAGAAACACAGGGTGCTCTGCTCCACTTCTTCCAAGCAGTGAACTGGGAGTTTCCCCTCTTCAATATCCAGCAGTGACCTGTGTGGATCTCTGCAACCAAAACCCCACTCACTCCTTCACTTCAGCTACATGGGCTTTCTACTGGGCTTTGCAGAGTCAGCAAGGACTTCAACTACTGCTAATATTTTATAAAGTAATGGGTTAAAATTGGATCTCAGCACTGCAAATATTATAGGTCTTTCAAGCCTAAATGCCCTTGATGCTACATTTCAGTGCCAATCAGAACTGAAAAAGTAGTATCACTCCACTTTCTGAGAAAATACAGTCAATGTTTCTAAGTAGTATGAGAAGCAAAATATATACAATTTTCTCTGTCCATTAATCACTGGCTTTAGATGAAGTCCACAAATAGAGATTTCTATCTCTCAGAAATAACATTATATTGGAAAAAATGTCCTGTAATTTAGACACAATATAGTAAGGGGAGGAGAGCAAAAGAAATGTCCTGGAGACACAAAACATGACCTGCTGGATCAAACTCTGAAAGTGAGATCTATTAATTCCCCAATCATTATGCAAGATACAACTGTACAGAACAATCACCACTGCAGCTGTCAGTAAGAAGAAAAGACCACTGGAGGGAATTCAGGAAGGTGACTAAAAACACAAGCAGTTGGGCCGCTGAACTTCCTCAGGCAGTGAGGAACGAGTGGGGCTCTGGCTGAAGGACTCTCATACTGTAGGATGTGTGCGAACCAAGGGAGGCTGCGTCCTGCTTCTAACCAGTTAATTACAGCTTTCCAGTCAACTCAGCATCTCCTCATAGAGTGTCTTGTAATTTATTAATCATTTTCATAGAGAAGACTATTTGCCTGTATTCTCTTTACATTCTGGTAGCTCAAATATGGTTGAATGATTCACCTTTAAAAATAAATAAATAGATTAAAAAAAAATTGCCCCAAGGCTAAAAAGCAGATATGGAAAGTTTCAGTTCAAGTGGCAGATTTTGCTGGTGGCTCTAAGTGCCAGAAATGCTGCTAGAGCAGCTGTGCAAGTGCTTCGCTGTGGTGCCCTACATATCCCTTTCCAAGCTGACTGAGTTAAAAGGGGTCAAGCCAGAACCTGACAATAACCTGGGAAGACAATCCCCAGAAAATTGTATCACGGTTGTTACACTGAATTTGAGATTCATTTCCGAGGGGAAAAGGCCAAGACCTCTGAGGAAAACAGCCCACGACCTTCCAGCCTGCAGAGGTGTGAGAAAGGAGTATCCCTCCTAGAGAGAGCTCCAGGAGGACACTGCCTCCCAGAGAACGCAGTAAGTTTCCTCCTCCCCATCACTTCTGCCAGGTACATTTATTCCAGGCTGTTTCCCAGTTAGCACCTTTAGAGTTGGACAGAGGGAAGCTGGCAGGGGTGAGATAACATGCCCAAGAGCCCCAGCAGCTCAGGTGCCCCTCACGCCTATCCATCCCTGTGACTGGGACAGCTGGAGTTATTCTGAACTCCAAATACTCCACAGTTGCTACTGTTGTGTCTTCTAATTCAACAAGAGCCAATGTAAGACTACAATGTGATGAAGAGCAAACCACACCAAGAAACCCAACAGGTTTTGTTCTTCTTGGCATCTCCAACAAGGTATTTAAGTGTCAAGCTCCCATGCTCAGCTAATGTTGTAGTGAGGCACTGCACAGAACATGAGCCTGGGAGAGTGCTAAGAGTTTACTCCCCTGTACCTGTCAAGTTTACAGCCCACCCATTTTGGTGACTGACACATTCAGATAACTGTGTGAAGACACTGTTAACACTTCACACCTCTTCATTTCTGTAGCTTCCCCTGGAGTTTGGCTGACTGCAACTTCCCCAGTTGTCTTTTTTGAGCAGATCAGAAAAAATAAGGTTGCTGTGTGATAACCATACTATAAGCAAGTACAGAGGTCTGCCTTCCAACTTTCGTGGTCCTTCAACATTTTCACATGGGACTACACCCACCAGCAGTGGCCCTGACCATCTCTCTTCTTAAGAAATAACGAACGGTTGAATTGTCTTTGTTTTCAATTACTGTAGACTTCCAGTGGAGTAAAACACATTTTTCTTCATTAAAAATAATGATGCATGGCACAAGCCTTTTGTCTTTGTTTACAGTTATAAGTATTTGCCCAAGCACAGCCTCTGAGGCACAGAAGAGGCCCTACTCTGGTTCTCTAATTTGTCATTACAAAGTCTAGTAGCACTTAATACAGCTAAATGTTTATGTAAAATGTAGTTACACTTCAACAACATTACATGAACAAATAAAGGAAACAGCCTTCATTTCTGTGCATTTGGAAGTCTCCCTGCTGCTTAAAGAATGATTATGTCCTTCACTTTTGTATGCCATTAGAGAAATACAGTTTCTTTCAGTGAAACAAAAATAGCTGGGGGTTATAATTTTTCTAAGGGTTTGGTAGCTTTTTAACCTTTTTTTAATTATTTTTTTTTTTAAATAGTCCTTAAGTCTTTTGTCTCCTAACAAGTATTCAAGTAGCAGACTATTCCAGCAAACTGGCCTTGTGTTTCTGGGTCCCTGCCACCACCAGGATGGAGACTGAGTAGAAGTACAAGTAACACTTTCTACAGGATCCCCAGTTCTCAGTGGGCCAGATTGTGCCATCAATTTTTAAGCAATTCTCCACTGGTAGGAAAGATTTCTGCTTAAAAATTGATGGCTTGATCTAGCCTTCTGTTGCTTATCATATATTATGAAGACTACTATAACCTAGTCAGATTCTATTTTTAAAATAAAAATAAAATATGAGGCAGCATGACATGCTATACAAATCCACATTTTGTAAAGACTAAATTGTACTCTTAAAACAGCAGGCACCTTTTCCCAAAATCACTAGACCATCATTTTACAAGGATCAGTTGGATAGAAGAATTTCTGGTTTAAGTTATTAAACAATTATTAAATTCAGCCATAAACATATTTCCAATTTGGAAAATTATTAGAACATATAGAAAATGTTTTACTGTCATATCAACATCAAAACAGTACCAAAAAAAAAATGGTTATGTTGTTTTCTTTGGCAGATACCAGACCAAATTCAGGGACATGCCAGTTATTTTCTAATAGGAAGAAATGAAAATGAACACTTCTTATTCTCTGATTTAGAACTTTAAAATTTCAGGTTTTAACCTGTATTAACTTTACACAGAGAATAAGGTTATCTCAGCCTATCTTAAACTACACTGAAGAAAACTCTGC